GGCAGGCGCTAAACCGCTGAGCCACCCAGGCATCCCAGAACATTCTTCTATACAACCACAGTACTATTATAAGAGCTCAGACAATAGTAATTCCTAATATTATATGATATCAAAATCAAAGCTTTGTGGTACTTTGACTACCATACATTAATTAGTACTTGTTTTGAAGCTGCAATAATATAGGGGAATTTTGGTAAAGTGCAGACAAATAGACCATGATACATAATAAGGAGTCTATAATGAGATTCATACATATTTGGACACTTGATATATCAGTAGAAAGAGGAAAGTTTTCAATAAATGGTGCTAGGACAGTTGGATATTAGAACTGAAATATATATATTAGGTCCTTAACTTTATACCATAAACAAAAGTCAATTCTAGCTAAATTAACATTCTAAATATAGCCTTTTAGAAAATAATATAGATGCAGATTACAGAAACAAATTGCAGAAAACAGAATATATAGTATATTTATTTATGACCTTTGGTAGTAAATGATTTCTGAAAGAGGACAGAAATAGCACAAGCCATAAACAAAAAATTTGACATTGAATAATTTGTGTTAATTTTGTGCTGCCACCTGGAGAAGATATTTATAGCATATACAACCAACAAAAAATTATTATACAATATATGTAAAGAACTCCTATAAATCAATGAAAGAAATACTCAAAATGTGTAAATTTATGACCAGGCATTTTGCAAGAGAGGAAAATAGAGATGCTTAATAAAAATGAAGAGATGTTCAGTGTCATTAATTGTTAGGGAGATACAATTAAAACAACAATGTTGGCAAGCACGAAAAGTGGACAATTTCAAATGTTGGTTACAATATGTTTTATACTGCTCCTGGGAGCACACTTTGGAAAACAATTCAACCTTGTATAGAAAGGAGGACACTCACATATCATTAAGACTGAGCAATTCTACACCTCTATACATACCATAGAAGAATTTCCAACCCACCAGAAGATGCATTAGAAATAAAAATTCTCAGGGATCGCTGGGTGGCTCAGTAGTTTAGCGCCTGCCTTTGGCCAGGGCGCGATCCTGGAATCCCGGGATCGAGTCCCACGTCGGGCTCCCGGCATGGAGCCTGCTTCTCCTTCCGCCTATGTCTCTGCCTCTCTCTCTCTCTCTCTCTGTCTATCATAAATAAATAAATAAATAAATAAATAAATCTTAAAAAAAAAAGAGAAATAAAAATTCTCAGGGCACCTACGTGCTTCAGTCAGTTAAGCATCTGCCTTTGGCTCAGGTCATGATCCCAGAGTTATTGAATGAGCCCCACATAGGGGCTCCTGGCTCAGCAGAGAGCCTGCTACTCCCTCTCCCTCTGCCTGCTGCTCTGCCTACTTGTGCTCAACTTTATTAAAAAGAAAGAAAGAAAGAAAGAAAGAAAGAAAGAAAGAAAGAAAGAAAGAAATTAAATTTCTCTGTACCACCCTAGACCTAAAATCAGAAGCTCTGAGGATGGGGCCAACAATCCATTTTATAAGCTCTCCAGGTAACATTAACATACATTAAATTTCAGGAACAGTTGTTCCAGAGAAACTTGTTTAAAGTCATAATTTATTTTACAGCTGTATTGAGGTATAATTATATATCATAAAATTGTTTTAAGCATACCCTAGAAAAACACGTGTATGACGAAAGATGTATATTGGACATTCATAGTAACAATGTTTAGAATAACAAAAAACTGGAAACAACCTAATATCCATGACAGTAGAATGGATAAGTAAATTTTACATAATGGCTGTGGTCACTCATACATACAGTTGATCAAAAGAAAGAAAAACAGGGCACCTGGGTGGCAAGTTGGTTGAACTTCCGATTGCATTTTGGCTCAGGTTGTGATCTTGTGGTCCTGGGATCAAGTTCTGCCTCTGGTTCTGCGTGCTCAGTGCAGAGTTGGCCTGAGTCTTTCTTTCCCTCTCCCTCTGTCCCTACACACCTGCTCCCTCTCTCTAAAATAAATAAATCATTTTAAAACAGAAGAAAGAAAAACAGTTAAAGCCTGCTAACTTTTTTTTTTTTGCCTGCTAAATTTTTGAGGAAACTGTATAATCCGTATAATCCTCAAAATCTCAACCCTGTTTGGAAAATTCATGATTCTTTCACCCTTACCATCCCCTGGATCCTGCATTTGCACCAATGGCGAGTGGATTGTGAAAGTTGTGTATTTCCCGCAGAAAAGTCACTTTCTCCAATGCCCACATCAGATGCTGCCATAGATGGCTTTGGTACCAAAGAGGTAACATCAGGGGTTAGGAAGGGATGGTTAAGGGAAATCCTTCCAGAGAGCTAAACAGGGTCTGCTCCATCTGGTGGGTCATGCAAGGAACTCTCTTCACTGTTGGAACTTGGAGTCATTATTATTCCTGCCTGGCAGGATTTGGTATTTACCATGGACTAGGGTTTTCTGTGTTTTTCCCACTCTCCCTTTTACTGAATGAGAGTTTTTATTGTAATTATCCTATTCAACCCTTATTAGTGTAATATTGGGTACTTTGGGGAAGGTGAGGGGGGCAAACGACTGTCTCATCTTTCAGCTGTCAGCTGCCAAACTATTTAAGAGTGAATGGCAGAGCAGACGGCAGAGATTCCAAAACTCAAGATGGATGAATAATAAAATAGCTGGCCTAAAACTTGGGTTGCTTTCCTTCGGGGTCTGATGAATACATTCAATGTAAAATGCCTGCATGAGAGGAAAGGTATGCTTGGGTATTAAGCAATTCAAGGGGGCACCTGGGTGGCTCAGAGGTGGGCGCCTGGGTGGCTCAGTGGTTGAGCTTCTGCCTTCGGCTCAGGTCGTGATCCTGGGGTACTGGGATCAAGTCCCACGTCGGGCTCCCTGCATGGAGCCTGCTTCTCCCTCTGCCTGTGTCTCTGCCTCTCTCTGTGTGTCTCTCATGAGTAAATAAATAAATTAAAAAAAAAAAAAAGCAATTCAAGGGGTGAGCTATGGCAGATCTTATGGTCTGACTAACCAAGTAATTGTGTGTGTGTGTGTGTGTGTGTGTGTTTTAAGATTTTATTTATTTATTCATGAGAGACACAGAGGCAGAGATACAGGCAGAAGCAGAAGCAGGTTTCCTACGGGCATCTCAATGCAGGACTTCAACCCTGGACCCTGGGATAAAGACCTGAGCCAAAGGCAGTCAACCCTGAACCACCCAGGCATCCCCCAAATGCATGTTTTTCACCCTCTCCTTGACCTTCTCTCTCATAAAGCCTGGGAAATCTAAGTACTGTACTTGTTTTCCCAGCCTCCTTTATATAACTGGGGGGGGGGGCATGTGACATAGTTCTGGTCAATGACACATAAGTGAAAAGGTTTTGGAGGGGTTTCTAGGAAAACTCTTTCTTGATAAAAAGGAATAGCTGATGTTAGCTGCCCCTTTCTTTCTTTTCTTGAGTTGGGATATGATTTCAGGATCTCTTGTAACCATGGGGAAAATGCCCTGAACCAATGCCTGTAACTCTCTACCCCAACATTTCTTCAGAGTAACAATGACAACAAAACCCCCTATGTTTAATTAAGATACTGTTAGTTGACTTATTTTGTTTGCAGAAGAAAACATCCCAAATATACATCACTGCAAAATGGTGATAATTCCTATCTTATTTCTATTTCCTAGATCAATTAAGACAACTTTTGGTAGGAAATTATAGTCCCATGACACTTTTAGTTTTTAAAAAGATTTTATGTATTTATTAGGCAGAGGGAGAAGCAGGCTCCCTGTGGGAGGTCTATGTAGGACGATCCCAGGACCCTGGGGATCACGACCTGAGCCAAAGGCAGAGATGCTCAACCACTGAGCCACACTTAAACAAACAAACAAACAAACAAACAAACAAACAACAAAAGTTAAAACCATATATAGTATTTTAATGAAAAGCTGTCATTTTCATAAAATGTTAGAGTAATATTTTCTATTTTGTTCCATAGTCTTATTTGTCAATGACTTCTTTGGTCAGAGTTGACTGGAAGAGCCTACAACTGCATTGTCTATTTTAATTATTTCCCTCTAGACTCATTAACTTGTACTTGCCTACATAGACACTCCCCTGCCAATTTTTTTATCAGCTCACATAGCCTGGCACTTTCTGCTATATTTGTTAAGTTAGCTGATTTACATTGCCGTTTTAAAAAAAATTATTTTTATTTTTGAAGATTTTATTTATTTATTTGAGAGGGTGAGAGAGCATAAGCAGGGGGAGCAGCAGAGGGAGAGAGAGCAGCAGGCTTCCAGCTGAGCAGGGATCCCCATGGGGGGCCGGATGCCAGGGCGCAGGGATCATGACCCGAGCCGAAGGCAGGTCATGCTTAACCGACTGAGCCACCCGGGCGCCCCACATCGCAGTTTTGAAATTTTTATTTATCATTAATTTTTTTTAAATTGCAGTGTTTTAAATGCCAATTTTGAAAACACTTCTGGGCAATCTGGGGAGTTGGGCCACAAAATCAGCGAAAAGCTCTGTACAAAGAAATAAGCCATGTTCTGTGCGTCCGCGAAATGCAAGGCATCGCACTCCCTCGTCACTTGTTACTCTACAAGGAGAGCTGCGAGACCCGGGAAAGGGAGAGGCACCCGCGCCAGGTTGGAGCCTGCGGTAAAGAGCAATCCGGGTGGCTCCGGCTGCTCTAGGGGACGGGTTTCTCCCGCCGGGATGCCGCGGCCAGGTGGAAGCGCGCGCCCCGCGCCCCGCCGCGGTCCTCGGCCCGGCCAATCGGGAGGCGGGCGGCAGGGGGTGTGGCCGGCAGGGGCGCGGCCAATCGGGAGGCGGGTGATAGGGGGCGTGGCCGGCAGGGGCGCGGCCAATCGGGAGGCAGGCGGCGGGGGCGCGGCCAATCGGGAGGCGGGCGGCAGGGGGTGTGGCCGGCAGGGGCGCGGCCAATCGGGAGGCGGGCGGCGGGGGCGCGGCCAATCGGGAGGCGGGCTGCCGGGGGCGCGGCCGGCAGGGGCGGGGCCGGCCTCGCTCCCCGGAGGCCCGCGAGCCGGCGCGCCCGGCGGCCGCCTCTCGCTTCCCCGGGCCATGGAGCGGCTGACCTTGCCTTCCGGCGGCGCCGCGGCCGTGGACGACTACCTGGAGTACCGGAGGTGAGGCTGCGGCTCGGCGTGGCGAGGAGAACGCAGGCGGGCCGCGTCCCCCGCGCCGGAGGAGGCTCCCGGAATCTGATCCCCGGCTGCTGCGGGAGCCTCACTAGCCTTGATTGGAGTTTCGTCTTTTTGTAATATTGTAATGACACGTAGCTCTACCGTAGTTGCAGTAAGTCTCTCCCGAGGCTGTTTAACAGATCTCCCGCTCCGACCCCCTCCAGGAGGGATTATTAACTCTTAGATTCGTGCAGACGTCCAACTGTGTTTTTCTAAATGGCCTGTGACGCGTTAGGCATGGACTGCTCGGGCCTCGTCGTTTGCATGGTCGTTTAGCAATAAGGTGTGTCGTGAGCTTCCAAATGCTCCCAACCCCGAGGTGCTGGTTTTAGGAGAAAGACTGGTGGGGTGGTGCGGTGGTTCCCGAGAAACTCCTCTCACGGAAATGGAAACAGCTGCCGCTTTGGTTTGAGGATGCGACTCACTGCCCTGGGCCCTGACCCAGGCTGATGCACCTGCGGAGACATGTTATTTTTTCTGGTCTCCCCAAGAAAGGTTTTTGGCAGTTGGGAGACTGGGTGAGTGGGAGTTCCTGGAGAGGGACTAGCAGGAGCATATGGCAACGGTTGAAGGCGGCAGGGGCGCCGGGGTCGGGGAGGAGGTGAGGGGAGGCCGTTTGGCCAGGCAGGGGGTCGGAGGGAGGAGAATGTATGTGTGTGCGTGTGTGTGTGTGCGTGTGTGTGTGTACACGGGAAGTGAGGCAATCACTGCCCCGCCTGGGAAGTCTGAGCAAGAGGGGGTGCTCTGCTTAAAGGCGGCCGCCCCAAATCACCCAGGGTTGCTAGGGCAAACGGCTTGCTTAGTTGGCCTCCGCTCCTTCTGATTGTCCCGGTGGTATAGTTTTGGGTAACACCTAGAAACGGTTGGTAATTCTGAGCCAGACAAGTAAGAATGAGGAGCTTGGTGAGTCAGGCCTCATCCCCCCGGGTCTGGTGGGTCCAGGTAAGGCCATGAGTCCTGTGCCCAGAACGGTTTCCACCCAGTCCTCACCAAGGGCAGGGCCGGCTCCTTTAGCCTCCAGGGCTTTTCCCTGGGAGCAAGTTGCTGGGCCTTGGTGTTGGTTGATTACTTAGATAATTAGTTTAGATAAGTGGACTGTCAGCCTCTAGATATGGTCTCTTGCCTGGTTCAGAAAATGTCAAGACCTGGTGGAAAATGATTTTTGCAAATACAGTTACTTGGAAGAATTCACTATAAAGGTTAGAGCCTTGCCACTCAAAGTGTAGCAGTCCTGGACCAGTGGTGTGTAGGCCTCACTTGTGACCTTGCTAGAAATGCGCACTCTCAGGCCCACTCCAGACCTATTAATCAGGATCTGCATTTGAACTAGATCCCTCGGGTATTCTGTAATTACTGTAAAGTTTGAGCTGTGCTGGTTTAGCAAATACAAATGATCTCTATCTTTAAAGACCTGTATCGATTTTGATTTTTTTCAGTACCTATTGGTAAACTTCATGACAGCTATTATAATGTGAAATGACCCAAAACTTTTCTCAGAATAAAATGCCTCCCCCCTTTTTACTATTGTGTTTCTAAATTATTTAAGTAAGGAAGAAGGTTGTGATGGCTTCGTAGCTTCTGCATTGGTTTTATTTATCTACCTCAGCTAAAGGCTTGGAAGTATGGAAAAAGTATGGATTGCACAAAAAATTAAGTAGCATCCTACAAACAAACATCTTTCATGACTTTTAAGGGGTGATATTTTCAAGGAGAAATTTCTTCAATTCTGAATAAATTATTTTACTTACGCTTCCTTTTTCTCCAGGGATGTCAACTCTTAATTTCTTAAGAAATTAAGAAATAGTGGTAGCTTAATTTTTCCCATAAAACTTTAAAGTTGATGTTTTGGAATTAAACAATGATTACTCAATACAGATGTGGGTTTCTGTGGGTTTAAACTCCTAGCCAGGATTTGGGTTCACATTACCCATGTTGTCTTCAGCAGTAATATTTTTTGTACTATTGTTTTTCTGGGGGGAGCACTATTTTTTTAAAGATTTTATTTATTTATTTATTTATTCATTAGAGAGAGAGCGAGGCAGAGACACAGGCAGAGAGAGAATCAGGCTCCTTGCAGGGAGCCCAATGTAGGACTCGATCCTGGGATTCAGGGATCATGCATGCCCTGAGCCAAAGGCAGATGCTCAACCTCCTGAGCCACCCACGTGTCCCAGGAGTACTATTTTTAAAGAAGGGAAATATTAGATTTTTTTTAGCAGGTTAGGCATCAGCTTTAATTTTTTTTATTTTTTTAAAAATTTTATTTATTCACGAGAGACACAGAAAGAAGCAGAGACATAGGCAGAGGGAGAAGCAGGCTCCATTCAGTGAGCCCTATGCGGAGCTTCATCCCAGGACCCAGGATCACGCCCTGAACCAAAGGCAGACACTCAACTGCTGAGCCACTCAACTGCTGAGCCACCCAGGCATCCCAGGCTCCAGTTTTTATTGAAAAGTGTGAACATGTTTGCTTCAGAATCAAAGGAGAAAATGAGATTGAATTTGCGGTAATTGTTCGGTGGTAAACCTGGATCAGTAAAGTCAGATGTCATGAGTTCAAGAGTTTTTTTTTTTTTTTTTTTTTATAATCCTCTTTTACTTGGAAAGCAAAAGCTTTACTACTATTTTTTTTTTAGAAGTGTTTTTTTTTTTTTAAGATTTTGTTTATTCATGAGACACACAGAAAGAGAGAGGCAGAGACATAGGCAGAGGGAGAAGTGGGCCCCCTGCAATGTGGGACTCAATCCTGGGACCCAAAATCACGCCCTGAGCCAATGGCAGACACTCAACCACTGAACCACCCAGGTGTCCCAAGCTTTACTAGTATAGTGTGTAATTTTGCTATTAACATAAGCCTAATGTAAAATAAAAAAAAAAAAAAGCAAAGCTGAAGCAGCATTTCCTTTGACTTTATAAGCATAGTTTAATTTTAGAGTTTAGTGTTTTTAACCTAGAAAATAAATATTCAAGGCTTAAAATAATTTTTTATTGTTGTAGAATAATAAATATTCAAGGCTTAAGAGAAGTTTTTATTGTTGTAGAATTGTTGGTGATGATGATGGAGGGAAACTTTTTACTCCTGAAGAATATGAAGAATACAAAAAAAAAGTATTACCGATGCGCTTACAGAACAGGTTATTTGTGAGCTGGCGATCACCGACTGGAATGGATTGTAAGCTTGTGGGGCCAGAGACACTGTGTTTTTGTACACATAGGTAAGATATTGTTCTGTTTTCTGGTGATTAGAAAATATAAAACTGTAGTACAGTGTATCTTCCTTCTGTAAATAACATTATTTGTGATAATTGAGAAACATTTAAAAATAGGCCTTTATATAATACCCTAGAAACTGTCTAAAGTGTTTTTTTTTTTTTTGCTATAATTAAAAATTTCTCTTATATCCTATGAGAACTTATTCTGGAGTCCATCAATCTAAGCATCTCTTCTCTTGCAGTTGGTAAAATGAGTGGTGACCCTGCAGCTTTGCTAGATGTCTACTTCTCCCACTACCAGATAAGTTAGTAAAGGATGGGCCATCAGAATGCCAAACTGCTTTTAAGAGTTTGAGTTAACCCACACTGAACAGGTTATTTACCTATAGATAGAAGAAGCATGTCTCCTCAGACTTACTAACCTCCCTTTGTACTTTAAGAAACATGTGTTGATACCTTTCTTTTAAAAATTTTAAAAAAGATTTTATTATTTATTCATGAGAGACACCCACAGAGAGAGGCAGAGACACAGGCAGAGGGAGAAGCAGGCTCCATGCAGGGAGCCCGATGCAGGACTCCATCCCAGGTCTCCAGGATCATGCCCTGGGCTGAAGGCAGGGGTCTAACCATTGAGCCACCCAGGGATCCCCTGTTGATACCTTTCTTAAAAATACAAGCACACCGCTTTTTATTACAAATGGTCCTTTCCCAAGTAAAGCACACGAAGGAAAGAAAATGCAGGAGATTCCAGTCACTGAGTGTGTATTGCCTGTACCTGAGGTTTGCATTTGGCCGTGTTTGTTGTGTTCTACTTTAAATTTTACTGCTGTCACAGGTCACAGTTGTAAAGCTCAAAAGGACAGAGTTGCTGCTTGGAAAAATCACTGAACCTATTATGTGTTTTCAGGTAACAACTTTTTAACTTTCTGTTCCAAAGAAACCATGGAAGGAGAACCACCCTGTTCTGATAGTTTCTGGGGCTCTTTCATGAGAGACTCTTTGTATAGTTGCTATTTACATACAGACTTGCCATCTGCCAAAGGTTGTTAAGCAGTTGCTAGGATGAGTAATGTTGTATATAGATTGACTTGAAACTTATTTAGCAACCCCAACTAAAAACACTGTGGAGAAATGGAGGATAAGGGTTATGTTGATATCTTTTAGAATTGAAGAGGAGTTTGGTAAATTTGTGTTGGTTTTATCACTTACTTTGTATAGATTTAGTGCGAGTCTCATTTATATATATTTATGTTGCATGGAATTAACCTTCAAAATTAACCCAACCTAAATTCAATCGAAAAGTTCTTTAGTACTGATCACTCAGTGAGATCCCTGTCTAAACTATTATTTTTCCCTATTACAAATATTGTAATTATTATTGAGATAAATGAAGAATATATAGAAAAATAGAAAGCTCACCACCCAAAGGCAGCTACCATCAATACTTTTTACTCTGTTCATGCAGTTTTTCTCTACATAGTTCACTTAGTTGCTAATTACGTGTACATATAAATATTGAACAAGTTTTTAATGACAGAGTCACAGAAGTATGTTTCCACATTGTTGTGTAGTAATCACAAATGAGATTTTTAATACGTGCTCAATATGCTATCTAGTCCGGTGGTGTGTAATGTGTGTTCCCCAGAGCTGTGAGGGAGTCTCAGGGGTACCCTTGGAAGGTCAGGTTAAGGGAAGGACAGACTCCAATTCTGGCTCTTTCCCTTGCTTTATCCAATTCTGCTTTTATCTATTTTCTATATCATGGTTCTGTAAAAAACTATATTTACAGAAGAGGTTTCAGTGCTAAAAATTCTAGAAACTGTTGTCTAGTGATTTACTTACTCATTTCCTTACTAATATGTTGTGTACTGTTGCTGATATTATCTTTCTGCAGAAATCTCTATACACAGAATTATTAGGGTATATTTTTGAGAAATGAACTATCTGGTTAAAGGATTTTTTTCAATTAAATTTGATGGTTTTATTTTTATTTGTTTATTGAAGTACAGTTGATATATAATGTTAATTTCAGGGGTGTAACACTGATTTGACAATTATATACATTAGGAAATGCTTTATGCAAAATTGAATACACCATGGAAAGGATGGATCTTAACTGTCTTGAAACATTAAGTGAGAGAGGTTCTTCTATAAGACTCTTGACAGCATTGTGAATTATGTATAGTTTTTTCTTTGCTAAGTGAACAATAGTATCTCATTGCTATTTTAATTTGTACCAATTATATTAATATTAATAATAATAAGCTTAATATTTTATTGAGTATCACCTTAAGAGCAAGAAGTGAGTGGCCTATTTAAGAAAATTAAGTGTTTTAACAAAGAGCTTTGGCTTTTAAAAATGTTGACACTTTGGGATCCCTGGGTGGTGGAGCGGTTTGGCGCCTGCCTTTGGCCCGGGGCGCGATCCTGGAGACCCAGGATCAAATCCCACATCGGGCTCCCGGTGCATGGAGCCTGCTTCACCCTCTGCCTATGTCTCTGCCTCTCTCTCTCACTGTGTGCCTATCATAAATAAATAAAAATTAAAAAAAATATTAAAAAAATGTTGACACTTTATTTTGAAGTTAAGATTTAAAAATTAAATTACATTCATATATGTTTATTGAACTCATTGCAGTTTTAAATAGCAAGCCTATGAAAAATTTAAGTAGTGTACTTTGATAAAAAGAATTTTGATAAAGAACTTTTTCCACACTAGTGCTAAGTATTTTAAGGGAGTTATAGTTCCTTGAATATTGTTGTGAAAATTCTTCTTAAGTAACTAAAAATGAAAATCTAAAAGAGTGAAGGTTTTTTTCTGACCAAGGCAATTTGTGACATAGCTGACAGAAATACTAGTTTTTTGCCTTACTAACAAGAACAGGAAAATAAAAATAATAATTTTGTGTTTAACAAAATAGAAATGATAATTTCCAGCAATACTTGCACTGTTTTTTAATATCCTCCTTTTTATTTATTTCTTTTAGGTATAAACAACATAAAACTGACTTTGAAACGATTCCGCAGCAGCGCCCCATTAGTCTCCCTTGCCGAGTGACCGGCTGCCCATGCAGGACTTACCTCTACGTCCCTCTGAATGGCACGCAGCCCATTCGCTGCAGGTGCAAGCACTTTGCAGATCAGCACAGTGCTGCGGCTGGCTTTATATGCAATGTCTGTGAGTTACATTATTATAAACATACCAACAGAATGTTTGTATTTCTCTATTGAATATTTAATATGCCTTTTTGCCAGTTTTATTCAGCTGGGTGGTCAAAATTAAACAACTCAGAAAAGCTTGATGGAACTATTCTAAAATGTTATTTTTGTGGAAAACCTCTGATTTGTATGTTTTGCAATCAGAAGCTGTAATCTCATGTAATTCAAATAAGTTAATGAGAACAATAGATTTTAAAGAATACCTAGATGCCATCTGATTTTAGTTTATTTACTTACACAACCTTGAGATTTAGAGTAGTATGTTCTACTGACTGAGCCAGCCAGGTGACCCAGATTAAAAAAATTTTTTTTTAATTTATTTATGATAGTCACACACAGAGAGAGAGAGGCAGAGACACAGGCAGAGGGAGAAGCAGGCTCCAAGCACCGGCAGCCCGACGTGGGACTCGATCCCGGGTCTCCAGGATCGCGCCCCGGGCCAAAGGCAGGATCCAAACCGCTGCGCCACCCAGGGATCCCAAGATTTAAATTTTTTAATGGGAGTTTTATCAACTAAATTCTGAGAGGTTTTTAAAAAGGATCGGAAAAGTTGAAAAAGATTTTATAATTTCCTGGTAGATTATCATGTAATTGCCTAAAACACACGCTGATGGGAAAAGCAAAAAGTAACATAATTTTAGCACATTATATGTGATAGCACCCTTACCTCAATACCTATACCCAAATCCCAGCCCCTATCACATAGGCCCTTTCACTTGATCATCCTTTTAAAAACCCCTTGACATAGGACATTACTTCAGTATTTTCTTCAGGAGGTAAGTTATTCTAGTTTTCATAGTAGTTGGAATTGAAATATGTCATAAAACATTTTTAATGACAGTGGCAGGAATAAATGTATTTCATTGGCTAAGTATGGAAGTAGTTAGATAAAATTTACTTATGTGCCTTGGTTTCCATACACATTTTTTAGAAGTGTGAGTGTGTAAAATTTTGTTAATAGTGAATTCTGGCCTCCACTTCAATGTGGCTTTTAATATATATATATATATAAAACTTTTATTAAGATATAATTCACATAGCATATAACTCATCCATTTCAAGGGTACAGTTTAGTGGGTTTTTAATATACTATAGAATTGTGCAACCATCACCATAGTTAATTTTAGAACATTTTCATCACCCCCAAAAGAAACTCCATATCCATTAGTAGTCATTCTTTATTCCTTCCTCTTCCCCAGCCCTGGGTAACCAATAATTACTTCCTGTCTATATGGACTTGCCTATTCTAGACATTTTGTATAAATGGAATAAGGTAGCCCTTTGTAACTGGCTTCCTTCACTTTGCATAATGTTTGTATGAGTCATTCATGTTGTAGCATCCATGAGTACTTCTTTCCTTTTTATTGTTAAACAATATTCCATTGTGTCCTTTCTATGTCTGTGGGTTGGTTTTCCTATATGACTTTTATGGGGCAACCACAGGGAGGCCTCCACATTTTCTCTTCACCTGGTCCTACCACTGGGCTCACCACACCTGCTTCTAACTCAGTGTTTGAGGAGAAGGCCTGTATTTCCTGGCTTTCTAACGTTACCCCATTTCTTTTAGTCCCACTTGGTTTTCTGAATACTTTTTTCCTGCTACATACCTTACCTTATCTTACTCATTTCAGCATCTTCCAGGAGTAAGAGCAGTGGCTGGGAGGGAGTTCAGGGGCTGGAGGCTAGAGTTGTAGAGGCCAGAGGACAGCATATAAGGGACCCAGATTCAGATGATTCTGGCCAAGCTGGGCATTTTTTTTTTAAGCTGGGCATTTTTAGGGCAGAGAGCTCAGTACTTATTTTAGAGACATATTTAACTCCCTTTATGTCTTGATACAGGTTCCAAGTGTTCAGGATTCCATAGTTGCTTCACTTGTGCTTGTGGTCAGCCTGCATATGCTCATGACACAGTAGTGGAAACTAAGCAAGAAAGACTGGCTCAGGGAAAACCAGTGGGACAGGATGTTCCTTATGCAGCGATGGGAGGCTTAACTGGCTTCAGCTCACTGGCAGAAGGCTACATGCGATTAGATGACAGTGGCACTGGTAAGTGGTGATCTACGGAATGTGAGCTTGTCATATATATAGGGCGCCTGGGTGGCTCAGTCTGTTAAGTGAGCTTGTCATATTGTTTTTATGTGTGCTGACGATAGTGAAGTCCTGTACTTGTTTCACACTTTATATTCTTTAGTTTTTTTTCTAGAAAACATTCTCTCATTTGATTTGTATTTTTTTTAAAACTTTTTAAATTTATTTATGATAGTCACACACAGAGAGAGAGAGGCAGAGACACAGGCAGAGGGAGAAGCAGGCTCCATGCACCGGGAGCCCGATGTGGGACTCGATCCGGGTCTCCAGGATCGCGCCCTGGGCCAAAGGCAGGCGCTAAACCACTGCACCACCCAGGGATCCCCTGATTTTTATTTTTTTAAATAAAGGTTTTATTGCCACTATACACTGTATGGTCCATATAGAAAACACAAGAGAAAAGATCACTTACCCCAATACTAGGACCCAAATCCCAACCCATAACCATGTTTTTGTAGTGGCTGAGTATTTCTTTTATTTGATATAATATACTTCACTTGTTGCCCAATTATATGCAATTTTTTGCCATTATAGTCATCTCATTTTAGAAACAGGCTTATGTCTATGTGTGCATATGCCTATGCATGTGTATACATGTTATCACATTTATAATGTATGCACACTGCTTGCATACATGAAGGTTTTAAGTATATAATATAGGGAAAAGTTCAGTTGGATAGATCTTGAGCTATTTTTTTTTTTTTATTCTTCTGAGTTGAATGAATAGGATTAGGAAGAATATGGTTCCTAATTACTTTAAATACTTCTGTGTGTATGGATTTTTTGGTATTCTGTTTTTTTCAGTACAAAATTACATAAATATAAATGAATATTATCTTGTAAAAGATTCAAATAATAGAAATGAAGTATTGTAAGTCCCCCTTGAACACTTCTCTTTACCCTAGATTCTTTCCCAGAGGGTAATTTGGTGTCATCAATTGATAATTTATTTTTCTTTTTAGCATACATTTTTATAGTTTTAACTTGGAAAAAATTTGAGAGCTTAACATATCAGAACACACAAATCTATTTAATTATTTTAAACCCCTGCATAATATTCTATTATGTCACTTTGTCAGATTTTCTAAGCCATTACTGTCAGTTTTTCTAAACCTTGTTTAAAACAATTTAGATTGTTTCCTTTTTTTTTCTTTTACAAATAGTCCTGCCAAAAAATCCTAGAACTTGTTTCCTTATATGCTTCAAAAATCTGATCCTAAGGTAGACACAGAGAAGTAGAATTGTTGGGTTGAAATGTGGGAAGTTTTAATACACTCTGTCAAATTGCCTTCCAACAATGCTGTATTTGTTTATACTTCCTCAACTGATTTTTTTAGCTTCCCTATTTCTCACATTTATGCTAGTCACTGATGTTGTCAAACCTAATTTTCTGTCAGTCTGACATGTGAAAATATTATTTCAGTCTGATTTCCCTGGTTATCAGTGGGATGAGAATCTTCTCGTGTTTATTGGCCATTTTACCTTCTGTGATTTGTCTTTTCATATACTTTGCTCACTTTTATGTTTTTATCTTTTCTCATTTATTTATAGGAAGTCTGATATATTCTGTATACTAATCTGTCATTTATTTTGCAGATAGTGTCTTCCAATCTGTCCTTTTTTTTTTGTATAGTTTTTAAATTTTGGAGGTAATTTTATAATTATGTTCACCTTTATTTCACTTTAATACTTAATTTTTTTTTGTTTTTTATGTTTAGCTTTTTCATGTACTTGGAACACATTTTATTTTGTGAAAGTGTGAGGTATGTGTAACTTCAGTTTTTGTTCAAATTGATGACAAGTTATCCAAATTCCGTTCTTTTCCAAATAATTTGAAACTTTACATTTCTCACATTCTGTCATACTTACTAGTTTGTGGCATTCGCCTATTTGTCTATCTTTTGCCAATATTCCTTATTTTTAATTATTATTTTTCATAGTGTGTTTTGATATTAATATGGTGAATGCCTCCTGTTTGTGTGTATGTTTCAAGATTCCCTTGATTTATCTATGTATGTTCTCATCTAGGTAATTTTACAACTAGCTTGTTAAATTCCATAAATAAATCATTTTTCAATTTTCATGGGTGCATGATTGTATTAAGCTCGTGGAACAGTTACTGAAAATCCAGTTCCTAATGGCAAAAAAATAATGATAATAATGATGATGTTGATGATTGCAGCTTTGTACTTCTAGGAGTCTTTCTAGTTTCTTTACATTTTTTTTTTAAGATTTCATTTATTTATTTGAGAGAGATGATGAGAGAGGGAAAGAGAACGAGAGCATATGAGCAGGTGATAGGCTCAGAGGAAAGGGAGAGGCAGGCTCGGTCTCAGGACCCAGAGATCATGACCCGAGGTGAAGGCAGATGCTCAACTGCTCAACTGACTGAGCCACCCAGGTGCCCTCAGCCTCTTTACATCTATTAACTCATGTAGTTCTCACAATAACTCTGAGTTTGGTGTTATTATTACTTTTATTTTATAGATAAAAAAACCCAGCACAAAAAAGTGTATATCTTAGTTCTTTGTTATTGACCTAGTTAGTAAGTGGTAGGGTTGGGTTCAATCCAGAATTGTTCTGGGCTAATTGGTCTGCCTCACTGTTGCCTATTTCTGTGTGCAATTACCATGATGTTTTCAATATTAAATCTTTATAATAAATTAATATTTATGACTTAATTACTTAAGAATTTTCCTGGCTTTTTCTTACTAATTTTTTGAGAACTTTGGCATTATTTTTTGGCAACATTCTATTATTTACAAAACATTCTATTTTTACAAAAACATCCTATTATTTAGTTGATATCAGGCTGAATGTAGATTAATGTAGGAATAATTGATATTTTAAAATGTTGAGTCTCTGCATTTGTCTTCTGGGTAGCTGAGTGGAATTCTTTTTTTTTTTTTTTTTTTAAGATTTTATTTATTCATGAGAGACACAGAGAGGGAGGTAGAGACATAGGCAGAGGGTGAAGCAGGCTCCTTGCAGGAAGCCTGATGTGGGACCCAGTCCCTGGATCCCGGGATCACACCCTGAGCCGAAGGCAGATACTCAACACCGAGGCCTCCCACTGATTGGAATTCTGAAGTTATCTTCATGAAAGTCCTCAATCTATTTCTTAATTTTCTTTCTGGGTATTCCATTTTTTTTTTTTTATAGCTAACATATGTAGGGTTTTTCCCTTTCTTTATATTTTCTAGCTGATTATTATTTGTTTATAGAAAAGCAAATGTTTTATGCTGCTTTTGTTACCAATCCTTTATTACTTAATCTTAGAGTTTAAAATAAATGGTTGCGGGCAGCCCCGGTGGCTCAGAGGTTTAGCGCCGCCTTGGGCCCAGGGCGGGATCCTGGAGACCCGGGATCAAGTTCCGCGTCGGGCTCTCTGCATGGAGCCTGCTTCTCCCTCTGCCTCTGTCTCTGCCTTTCTCCCTCTCTATGTCTCTCATGAATAAATAAAATTTCTAAAAAAATAAAAATAAAATAAATGGTTGCTGTTATAAATCATGGTATTTTTGCCTTTTCCAGTATTTCTGGTCTTATTCTCGACTAATTACCATGGTTGGCATTTGCAAACAGTGCTAAGTGATAGTGGGAATAGCTGCCATCTTTGCCTTCTTGTGCCTTCTGGTATTTTGTCAGTCTTCTTTATAACAGAAAGAGAGAAAACCTCTGCTTTTTGGCCCCTGAGGGAAGGTAGGGTGAGGAAAGGTGAGAGTGAGGAGAGGAAGCAAGATGTTTTTGTCTTGATTTCAGATGTAGGGGAGCCTGGGGCAGAGGGTCATCTGCTCTATTAGCCATGTAGAGTCCTGGACAGAGATGACAACTTGCTCCTTTGGTTCCTTTTTGATGCAGGAGCCCATATGCCCAGCTCCTAGTGGGTGTTTGGAAGGCAGCTGAGCTCTAAGGCAGTGGACCTGCCATGATAGTTGTCATGGCAAGGGGATCCTGAGCAGAGCTAGAGGTGTGTCCTCTGAGCTCTGGGGGATTCAGTAGAGAAGTGGCAGGCATTGATGGATTTGTACTTCTTCTAGAGAAAGCAAGTGTGAGGCCCTACCAAGCTGTGAGACTACACTACCACTTAACCAACCTTGAGCATTTGAGATCAGTAGTGCATGCAGCAACCAGAAGACAGCATAAGGACCTCAGTGGACCTCCAGCCACATGAGAGAGGAACTGGAGAAGGAGGGGGCAGGAATCTAAAAGAATGAGCATTGTCCCACACTGTTTAGGTCATAAGAGAGGACTCATTTTAAAAGCCGAATAGGACTAAAAATTTATTTCCTTCACTCTCTGCTAAATGGGGAGAGGAATGTAGGGGAGGTAGTGGTTTGTGAAGAAGACAGAGCGCTTAATATGTTTTCTTTACAGCTTCCTTCCTTTTGGTCCAAAGGTCAATGTTTTTAGCGATTGGCCTTTGTAATTTTGTGGTGTGGGGTTGTGGATATTTCATTTCCTTGAATTTTTCTTTACTTTTTCATACTTCATTTTGAGATGGTTTTCTAGTGAGGAACAGAGTAAAAATACACTTATTCTGCCCTCTTCAACTACAGGTTCTTTATCATGAATGTCTTGTTTTATCTTGATAGTGTTTTTGTGACTGTATTAAGGTTTTGTACTTCTTTGTCATAGTTCCACTCATGCATATTTTTTCTGTGAAAACGATATCTGAGAAATACAAACATACTTTTACCTAATTCCCTTTTACTTTATATGGCAGATAAACATCTAAATAAAAATTCCTTTTTTATAGAAAGATTTTTTTTCTAATTATTCTGCTGAAGTTCTAATTTATTTTGCATTGAAATAACTTTTTTGTGTCCTAACAAATAAAGATTTAATTTCCATTCTTTTATTTTGTTCTCAGGTGCACCTTCAATTGAATTTTTAGACTCTCCAGTTACAACCATGGACCACCCATTTCTAAACACATTTCAAGCATCATCTAGTTCTTCTCCAGAAACACTGACAGATGGTAATGAAATGAAACTGACAGATATGTTTGGATGTAGTAAATAAGAATGTAGATTGATTCGTTTTCTTGATCTTATTTTTTTCCCTCAGTATTACCACAATTTAGTTTTCATTTTACTTTTAGTTTGACCCAGTACTGAGAAAAAGCAAGAAACTTCCTTTTTTTTTGAAAATTGTTAAATCTGAGAATTATGAGGATGCTAATAATAAAATAATTTGAAATTTTAAAACCTTACACGTTCTTGTTTTGATGTCTGAATAAGAGAGCCCTCTAGCGGCTCTCCCAAGCAGGATGTAATTTGGTAATAAGTATAGGTTAGTAAAGTTTTGTCATTTATAAATTATATGTATACATATAAATTATACATAAACATTATACATATATATGAATTTTATTCATTTTTAAGCACTAGTATTCTATTTCCCTTATTAAAATAAGAAAAAAATTGAAGAAGGAATTTTTATGATATATTAGGTATTTAATATTTACAAATATTTTTATATGGGATTTTTCTTTTTATTTGTATTTTCCTAAAACTTTTTCATATACCCTGTCTCCACAAGGGGCTTTAGGGCTGCGTATACAAACAACACCCAACAAAGTAATGATAAAATATAGATAGAGGAAATCAAAACCAAGAAAAAGGACACAGTTGTGTCAACTTCTAAGGTTGATATAATTGCTGCTGATGCTTCAGTTTTGACTGAGTGTAGTGGCAGCCAAGGCACAGAGGAAGGTGTGCTTTTCATTGTTAGAGAGAGACTCATATTATTATGGGTTCTAAAGTTATACCAGTGCTGGATTTTAAAGATGGCTCTATCATATGACAATGATATAGTGACCCAAGATCCTTAACTTTTTCAGAAGACTACACAGGTGCACTCTCCTGCCTGCACCTTTCACCTCAGCCTGCGGTCCTAAGACACAGGTTACCCAGGTTTTCTCTGTATGGGGTCAAGGGTGGGGACAGAGACAGCTCCCCATCCCAAGACCCAGTATGTAGATCTTTCAAGATGGTGGTGATGAAGTCTGAGGCCGGCAGGGCTGCTTCCATTTACTTCCGTCCAGCCAAATATTTGCTGGTCATTGTCCTGGCACTGGGCTATTTTGTGGGTTGTCTTCTGGCCACAGAGTATTATCCCTTATCAGAGCTTTGGGCCTCTGGGACTCTTCACTCAGGACTTGGTGTACCATCATCATCACACCCTCCTGTACAATGGGTGTTGGCTTGTCTGGCTGATCAACATGGGAGAGTCCTTGTAGCCATGGTTTTGTGCAAGTGAAAAGGCATAACGAATACTCGGCCTCAACTCCTCTGGTTTCTACAAATCTTCCTCTTTGGGATAGGGTCTCTGGAAAGAGATCTTGATTGCTTACAGACCAAAATGCCAAAAACACACGAAAAGAAGATATCCACAAGCTTTCCTTATACTTTTGACATTCAGCTTCACTGTTTTAGTGGCAGGGGAGATGTTGACTTTACCTGATCTTTCTACTTTCCAGAAATGTAAGACCCTCTAGTTGTTCATTATTCTTTCAGATGCTCTGGTTAAGCTTAATTGGGATAATTGGGAAAGGATTTAAGCTTCCCAATTCTACAGACTAACCTATGTGACAGAGGGATTCCAGCTACCTTCTTGAGGTGCTTGGCGGTGATGGTGCTCTTTCTAGCCTCTGGTCTAAGCTGTACTAAAATTGCTTATTGGTATAACTTTGCTCCCACCTTCTGACTAGAACACCTTACCCCTATCACCCCATCTTAGCTCTCCTTTCCCAAAATTTTTTCCACTTTTCTGAACCAAGGCAAAGGGACATTTCCAGAACACATCAATTCCACACATACTAGGCACCTGGGAGGCAGGATCTTAACCTCTCAAATGTGCATTTCTCTCACCACCAAGAAAGGTAAGGAAGATAAGCAAGTGCCAGGAATGGGCCAGGCCGAGCAGTAACACAGAGGCACAGAGGACAGGTTGAGGCCCAGGAGGAGAGGACTGGGAAATGCCTTCCCTGATGGTGCCAGCCAGAAGCCATCCTTCCCTCCACGTGGCCCTGAGGACACAGCATTCTGTAGCATGCAGGGGTCTGATGGCCACTGCTAGATTGTCCCTGCTGGTCAGAACCACATCTTAGCTTGATTTTTTTTTTTTTTCATCACTTGACCCATTGCCTTGCCCACAGGTGTTCTATCAGTGTTTTCTGATCAAAACTCTGATTGAACTGTCCACTTGTTCAGGATCATTCCTGTTGTTATAGGAAAACTGCAGAACCCTCTCAGTGTATATTCTCTTCTGAGAGAGAAACACAGGACCACCCCTGGCTGGTGGTGTTGCCTTCTGTGGTCCCCCAGTAGGAAACCTGTATCTTTTTTGCACTTGCCTATTGTAAGTCACTTTGTCTCCAGACTCTGTAACAATCTCTGTCCAGCTCCTGGACACTCAGACATTCCTGAGCTAGATCCTAAATGGAAGCTAGTTACTACCTCCCCCCCACTCACCTGATTAGACCTTTTTTACTACTGACTGGTCAGGGAAGGAGGGTCACTGACTCTGTCCCCTGACTTTGGCAGAATGACTGTCAGAATGAAAACGTGATTTTCTTTCCTGAAGCAATTTTAAATTCCTTTCATAGCACAAACTGGTGCTTGTTTAGCTTTAAAAACTGAATACCCACTGGGCGTTATACTATATGTTGGCAAATTGAACTTTAATAAAATATATATACATATATATTTTTAAAAGTGAATACTATGGAAAATGGTTAAAATTATTTTAGTTTTGAAAAGTTTCAAAGCAGGTAGTATCTTGGTTGCTTGTACAAACTGCCATAGTCTAGTCAGATGCTATAACAAAATACCACAGACTGAGTAGCTTATACATAAGAGAAATTTATTTCTCATGGTTTATTTCTCACTAGAGACTGGAAGTCCGAGATTAGGGCGCCAGCATGGTTGTGTTCTGGTGAAGGTCTTTTCTTGATTCACAGCTGGCCCTTTCGAATTTTGTCCTCATACAGTGGAAGAGTTGAGCAAGGATCTCTGTGGGGTCTCTTTTATAAGAGCACTAATCCCATTCATGAGGATTCCACCCTCCTAAGTACCTCCCAAAGACCCCACCTCCTAACACCATTGCATTGGGCATTGGGATTTCAACATATGAATTTGAAGGGAACACAAACATTCAGACTATGGCACAAATCTTCTGTAATTACTTTTGCATATTATCTGTTATGGTGTTACATGAAATTCTAGTTTTGCTATAAAATTTAAAATGTAGTTGGACAAAGCTAAGTGTGCTTTTATATGAAAGAGATATGAACCAGTTGCACATTAGGGGAATGTTTGCCAATAAACATTACTTTGTTTTGCAATGCTCTGCATTCTAAAGAGTTAAGTAGGGGTGCCTGGGTGGCTCAGTTTGTTAAGCATCCAACTTGATTTTGGCTCAGTTCATGATCTCAGGGTCCTGGGATCAAAGCCCTGTGTTAGGCTTTGTGCTCAGCTGGGAGTCTGCTTGAGATTTCTTTCTCTTCCTCTCTCTCTGTCCTTCCCCCCCCCCCCGCCTCCCCCCCCGCCCAAATAATTAGGTTAGTAGGATCAATTACCACTTAGATCATTCTGGTTTGAAAAATAAAACATTATCACCAGTAAGAGGAAAGTTTTCTTTCTGTTTTTTTTTTTTTTTTAATTTCAGCAGAATTTGTAGTTCCATAAATATATTACTTACAGAATTATTTTCCTTATTAGTAGGTACAAGTAGTCAAGTTTCTTCCATAAAGAGACCTGAGGAGGATGATATGGCTTTCTTTGAAAGACGATACCAAGAAAGGGTAAGTCTGTGGTGAAATCTGCTTAGGCATTTAACTTGTGACAAAGACGCAATTACATGTTGATTGTGGAATATCATTAAAAATAATTTATAAAGTCTTTAGTTATAGCTGATGTTGGCCTTGAGACTTACTTAGAATGATTCAGAGAGAAACAGGATGAGTGAATAATATGATACATAATACAGTAGTTAATTTATGAAGGTCATAAAGATTAAATATACAGATAATATTGTCAATAATAAACATCAGCTATCAGCAGATTTTTTAAAAATATTTTATTTATTCATGAGAGACACAAAGAGAGAGGCAGAGACATAAACAGAAGGAGAAGTAGGCTCCCTTTAGGTAGCCTGATGCAGGACTTGATCCCAGGACTCCAGGATCACGACTTGAGCTAAAGGCAGACACTCAACCACTGAGCCACCCAGATGGCTCAGCAGACTTTTAAATTAAATGTACCTTGAGGGATCCCTGGGTGGCGCAGCGGTTTAGCGCCTGCCTTTGGCCCAGGGCACGATCCTGGAGACCCAGGATCGAATCCCACGTCGGGCTCCGGTGCATGGAGCCTGCTTCTCCCTCTGCCTATGTCTCTGTCTCTCTCTCTCTATCTGTGTGACTATCATAAATAAATAAAAGCTTAAAAAAATTCTCTAAAAAAAAAAATAAAAAAATAAATAAATGTACCTTGAATTCTTTTTAAAGAAAGATTTATATATTTTAGAGAGAGAGAGTAGGGGAAAGGGCAGAGGGACAGGGAGAGAATCTCAAGCAAATGTCCCACTGAGTGAGGAGCCAGATGTGGGGCTAGATCTCACAACCTGGAGATCATGACTCCAGTCGAAATCAAGAGTTGGATGCTCAACCAACTGAGAAACCCAGGTGCCCCTGGATCTTGAATTCTTTATATGTTATATCTCTTCTCAGTACATCAGGTATATCTAGACTCAAGTTAAAATTATTCATTAGCCTTTAAGGAACTAGACACTAAATAGAAATGTATTTTAGCAATTCCCAGGGCTCAACAACTATATGATGTGTTCCCGGCTTTCTGTAGTGATAATTTTCATCAGTTATCTACCACACTATAAACTCCTTAGGGATAGGGATGCCTGGGTGGTTCAGCGGTTGAGCGTCTGCCTTCAGCCCAGGGCATGATCCTGGAGTCCCGGGATCGAGTCCTACATCGGGCTCCCTGCAAGGAGGGAGCTTGCTGTGTCTCTCATGAGTGGATAAATAAAATCTTAAAAAAAAAAAGAAAGAAAAACCTCCTTGGGGCTAAACAGTATTTTATTATTCTTCATATTTTCCCCAGAACTAACTATAGTACCTTGTACATAATAAGTTTTCAATAAATATTTATGGAGAATTGAAAAAGGAAACACATATTAATTGATACTTACTTTCAAACATATCATATACTTAGATATTTGATGTGTTTCATGGCCATGTTCACATTTGAGAGTTTTGTTTTTGTTTGTTGCCAGATGAAAGTATGTTAGTTTGATAAGGTATGGGGGATGATATCCACCATGTGGTATAGTCCCCAAAGTGCTTTCCTTAGGATTATTTTATAGTTGCTCTGTGGGTGTTTATCATCTCTCCAATTGGGTAATAAGAGTCATGAAAGTAAAGACACTCTGGTCACTTTTTGTTATAGCTTGTTAAATAACCGAAGATGTGGAGAAAGGAGACCATTAAATAAATTCACCTTCCAAGAGGAGAGGAAGGGAGTAGGGGAGAGAGATCAGCTTGGTTTCCCTGATGAAGAATTTTGAAGTAGAGGGGGAGAGTCCTGGATGATTTAAGGCAGAGCTAGAAATAGATTTTTTTGCAGTGATGAAAGTGTTCTATACCTGTGCTATAGCTATTCATATGTGGCTAGATAATTCTAAATTAATGAAAACTTAAAAAATTATTTTCCTCAGTCACACCAGTCACATTTCAGGTGCTCAGTGGGCCATGTGTGGCCAGAGGCTACCTTACTGGAAAGCTCTCATCTAAGAGAAAGAGGAGGTAGTAGGATCTCAGGGAGGGAGATGAAATGGCCAGAGGGAGGGTTAAAAAAAGACTTTTTACAACATCATTCAGGCTAGACTTTTAATCACATCAATCTCCACTCTTGGAATACACATGCTCACAGCTGGATTTTAGTTTTTCCTTCACAGGGAAGGGACAGGATTCTAGAATTACTTCCTTTCCTCAAGAAGTCTGGGTTATGTTGACTGCCTTGAAAACATGTCTGTAGTATTTGCTTGTGGGAGGATAATGGTGGGGAGTGATTGTTTTAGAAGATGTACCTGGCCAATCCAGACTGAGTATTATAAATAGACCTAGAATTTATGGATTTACAAGATGTAGTTTATAACTCTCCAGCTTGTGTGATTTATGAATTTATGAGACACAGCTTATAAACTTTCCAGCCTGTGTGATTAATGGCATATAAAAACAAAGAAGTTCAAACCTCACAACTTCCTCTGAGCTGATATGTACTATACGTGTTGTTGGTACTTGGATTTTACTGCAAAAAAACAAGATATGTACCACTGAGGGAAAAGATGATTAGGAAGCCAAATCTGATGGGTCACAGCCCCTTTAGAAAGCAATGCATATCTGGTTTTGCTTCTATCCTGGTACAATGGTAACATGTAGTATGGGGAAGAATCTACCATAAATGTGAGTTGGCTTTGATAATTGAAGCCTTTGTGGTAACATAGTGTCCTAATTACTTTTAGGTATATTGAAGCGTAGGTATTATTGAAGAGTTGCTTCATTGCTTCTTTTTTTTAAAATTATTATTATTTTAAAAGATTTTATTTTTATTTATTCTTGAGAGACAGAGAGAGAGAGAGAGGCAGAGACACAGGCAGAGGGAGAAGCAGGCTTCATGCAGGGAGTCTGATTCGGGACTTGATCCTGGGACCCCAGGATCAGGCCCTGGGCTGAAGGCGGCACTAAACCGCTGAGCCACCCAGGCTGCCCTTCATTACTTCTTTTATGTATTAGGTCAAGTTATTTTCTTCCATTGTGGTTGGTCTTGTATCCCTAAGAAAGGAGAATTTTATTAGGGAAACGATTATCAAAGGTGAACTAGGTGAAAGGGGCTATTAGTTCCAGGAAATTGAAAAAGAATAAAAGGAGCAGGAGGAGGTATCTTTGCTCTTCAGACACTAGATTAGGTGGATGTATTTGCTAAGTACCAAGTGAGAATGCCCTGCTTTGGCTTTGTTTGGTCATTCAGCATCTTGTCCCTTTTTTGACATTACTATAAATCTAACACTTGGCCATGAATGAGAAAGGAAAAGGGACTAGCATTTGTTGATTGCTTATTAAGTACCTGGATTTTGTATATATGATCTCATTTATACCTTTAGAACAACTCTGAGAAGTATCTATTACTATGATCCTTTTTTTTTTTTTTTAAACAAATGAGAAGGGGCACCTGGGTGACTCAGTGGTTGAGTGTCTGCCTTTGGCTCAGATTGTGACCGCAGGGTCCTGGGATCGAATCCCACATCAGGCTGCCTGTAGGGAGCCTGCTTCTCTCTCTGTGTCTCTCATGAACAAATAAAATCTTTTTTTTAAAAAAAGAGAGAGAAAACTATTGGTTTAATAGTTTGCCTCAAGTAGTTAATAAATGGTAGAGTTAAGATTCAAATACTCATACTCAAATACACATGCTCTTCTATGTGACTCCAAAGCCTATAATCTTTGCCTTAGTAAAGGGTATGCCTTTGGAGGTCCTGCAGATGACCTGCTGACTAATATCATGTACAAGTGATATGAATGTATGGTTTTTGAATGAGATTCCCAACCAACTCAGGAGGGAGAGGGGAAAACGGGGGATGAGACAGAGGTGAGATATATAAATTTTATTATTGGGAAGTTATTATTTACAATTTGATGATTGGGTAGACTGGTTTGACTAGGTCCCGTCTGGTTTCTTTATATTATTACCTTAAAAGGTAGGAGGCCCTCCACCTACCATGCCCCATACTTTCCATCCCTTTCTCCTTGAAGGATAAGGTAGTGGGTGCTGCTTCAGGAAATTTTAAGAGGCAGTGAGCTTTGTGTTCTTTGTGGCCTTTTTTTTCCCATAGAAAGGGTTTAAATGTTTTTAAAAGGTCAGAAGGCCACTACTTAGGATATGTAAAGATATGTCTTTGCTTCACTGACACTGGAAGGCAGCCTTCAAGGAGTTAACTGTGGAAATGTAAAATCCAGAATTATAGGTATCTGTCCTCAAAGCAGTCCATGTTCCAGAGATAATCCAGCTGCATTAGGTATGTTCTGTAGGGAATGTGCATAGACTGGATGTAAGGTTAGGTATTTAAGCTTTTGTAAAACAATTTTTTTAGTGGCAGGTAAAGTTAACTTATGAATTTTCTCCAAAGCAATATTCACTATATGTTATTTTTATAAAATGCTTCTGCAAAGTTGTAATCATACCATATTTTTTAAAAATATATTTTATTTATTTGAGAGGGAGAGAGAGCACAAGCAGGGGGAGCAGCAGAGGGAGAGAGAGAAGCAGGCTCTCCACTAAGCAGGGAGCCCAAAACAGGGCTTGATACCAGGACCCCAGGATCATGACTGAGGCGAAGGTGGATGCTTAATCAACTGAGTTACCCAGGCGCCCTAAAATCATACCATATTTTAAAAATGCAATTAGGTCCCTTTGACTATTAGATTTTGGCTTTAAAATTTAGCAGCTTAGGGATGCCTGAGTGGCTCAGCGGTTGAGCGCCTGACTTTGGCCCAGGGTGTGATCCTGGGGTCCTGGGATTGAGTCCCACATTGGGCTCCCTGCATGGAGCCTGCTTCTCCATCTGCCTATGTCCCTGCCTCTCTCTCTCTCTCTGTGTCTCTCATAAATAAATAAAATCTTAAAAAAAAAAAAAGAATTTAGCAGTTTAGTCACAGCTAAATAACTGTGAAATGGCTGTGATAAATGAGACATGATTCCAGATAAGGTGTGTATAACCTTTTTTTCTTTAGACTGTTTTACAGATTATTTTATCAACAAATATTTTAATTTTACAGATAAAGATGGAAAAGGTTGCTAAGCAGAAAGGAAAAGCACCATTGCCATCAAGTACAAAACCTTCATGAAGGCTATTGGGAAAATTAAAACCATCATCCAAATAGATCTTGTTTGTGTTTATTTAAATATAATAATACACTTTATTTTCTCTCAAATTATTTACTACTCTTACTATGTAAAAATGTCATTTTGATTGTTTCCTTTATTTAAACAAGTGAAAATACTTTATATTACTTTTGTCAACATTCATGATTTAATATTTTGTATATATTTTTTATCTCTCCTAACATATGAGGTTATTTTCATATTGGTCAAAGCCTGAAAATACAGTAACTGTTTTTAGTTTGTCATAATTTAACTTTTTGAGGCTATTTAAAAAATTAAACATATTATTGGGGGTCTTGAACAAATATATAAGGAGGGAACACTGTTTAAAAATAGTAAGTTAAAAATCTCTTTTTTATTTGTCGAACTTTGTAATCTTGATTTATGTTTTTAAATAAAAATTGTATTTAAAAATTATTTAATCATTTTTCAGTGGTGTCTTCTTTTTTTTTTTTAATAATCTTTTTTTAAGATTTATTTATTTATTCAGAGAGAGAGAAAGGCAGAGACACAGGCAGAGGGAGAAGCAGGGTCCATGCAGGAAGCCGGAAATGGGACTTGATCCCCGGTCTCCAGGATCACACCCCAGGCTACAGGAGGCGCTAAACCGCTGCACCACTGGGGCCGCCCTAGTGGTGTCTTCTGATTTTTAAGTTGTTTTATTGAGGGGATCCCTGGGTGGCTCAGCGGTTTGGCGCCTGCCTTCAGCCCAGGGCATGATCCTGGAGTCCCAGGATCGAGTCCCGCATCAGGCTTCCTGCATGGAGCCTGCTTCTGTCTCTGCTTCTCTCTCTCTCTCTCTCTCTCTCTCTGTGTATGTGTGTGTGTCTCTCATGAATAAATAAATAAAATCTTAAAAAAAAGTTGTTTTGTTGATTATGCATTGTATGTAATTGTATGAATTTATTGTGCAGCAATTCAAATCCTCTTGGCCCCACCTCTTACTCCAAGACTGCTGTGAAACAATTCTAGGCAGGCTTCTGACAGCTTCTCATGGAAGCCATTTGATGGCGTTTCATCTTGAGAACATCTCATGATTCTCTTGTCTTTTTCTCCAGGGATCCTCTGATTGTGTGGCTTGGGATGCTTACTGGAGCTCCTTTGCATCATAGTTGTATGAAAATTTTGGGAGTGTTAATGACCTTGGGACCATCCTTGACCTATGGATAAATGCTCTTTTTTCTGCTGGGAAGAGAATTCTGAGATGCCTTTCATAAGCTTCCTCAGAAAATCCTGTGGGATTGACTACCAGTTACCCATAGCAGTGGCCAGCTCTGTAATTCATTCTTATGTTAGCTTTCTCTATCTTCTCCCTTTCTGATCCCTCTCTCTGGTTGTCTCAGATTACTTCTCAAAGAATACTCACTTGTATGAGAGTATTTGTCTTAGGCTTGCTTTTGGGTAGTGGGTAAACCCAAGCTAAGATGGGTACCAGGAATGGCCTTAGAAAGCAAACCCTCTGGATGGGATTCTGTGACTGGATCATTCACTGGACAGATGACAATAAAGACCCCATAGCTAGTGGTAAGTGGCATAGTGATAATTCCTGTCATGTGGATGTGTCACAGTTATTGTATTAGATTAGGGCAGCCCCGGTGGCTTAGTGGTTTAGCGCCAACTTCAGCCCACGGCGTGACCCTGGAGACCCAGGATCGAGTCCCGCATCGGGATTCCTGTATGGAGCCTGCTTCTCCCTCTGCCTGTCTCTCTCTCTCTCTCTAATATATATAAAAGATGTGGGTAGAGTGTGAGTGGAAGGTGAAGTATTAGGTTATATAGTAGCTGTGACATTACAGTGGAATGGGACTAATGGAAATTATAAAAATGGAGGTGTTGGTTAGTTATTGTTAACTGCTTTAACAAAACTTTGAAAAAAGAAAATGACATAGATTCATGTTAGCTATTTAAGTCAAGGCATGCTGTGAAAACCAGTGTCTCTATAGCACCCTTTAAGGAAAATCTAATCAGCAGATGTTGGCAATCTGTGCTGACAATCCAACCCAAATAGTAAAGGAAACTGAAGACACAGCCTTGATTATCTCCTCCAACAAAGTCAGCATGTTGACAGGAAAAGACTGGAACCTTGAATCATAGAGTGGGAACATTTGTGTTTGTGAGTCTGAGAATCTTGAGCCTTCATGTTTCCTTGATTCTCTGAGCAGCAGAAGTGGCTTCCCCTCCTCCACTTTTTTGGATGGAGAGCAGCCTTCACTTACTTGGAGATCCTACAAAGAATTTATCTGGGGCACTTACATTGTAAGATGACACTTGTTGTCCTTAAGACTTATCCCTGCTACCTCTCCTTAGTTCCAAACTGATAACTAGGGTCAGGTCTCAGCATACCCTAACTGGGGAAATACAGTCCTTTCTATAGGAGGATAGGTTACAATCTGAATAAACTGCAGGTTCTGGTTAAGATGTATTGACAGGAGCCCATGAAGCATGCCTGGGAGTAGATCTTGAGGGTATTAGAGTGATGGAATATAAGGCCTGATAGGAGAAAGTAACATGGTAGCACTTAAACTCTTGACTTGAGTTTTAATACCTTGGGTATCTGGAGTTCATCCTAACACACTGCTAGGATGGCATCTGGAAGGTATGGTGGAAATGCTAGAATTTATTTGGCATGGTATCGCGGAAGGGGTCACAAAGCTCAAGGAAGTCAGTGTTAGAATGGATTTGTTGTTTGAAACTTGAGAAGCTACCACTGAGTGCTTTCCCTGGGAAGGCTCAGATGACACTCATAACTGAGGCAATAAAAAATGTAATGGTGAAGAATATACTGGCGACTTTGAGAAGCCTGGCTATGGCTGATCTCTATCTATAGGCTAGAATTGATGGTAGAAGATGCTGCCATGACACTGGGCTCCTTGATATCAGCATTGATGATGGGATGCAGAAGGGCTGAAGGCCAAATTGTGGAACCTAATTGTCAGATACCACTGGATATAATTTTTTTAAAGATTTTATTTATTTATTCATGAGAGACATGCAAAGAGAGGCAGAGACATAGACAAAGGGAGAAGCAGGCTTCTTGCAGGGAGCCCGATGCGGGACTGGATCCCCGACTTGGGATCATGCCCTAAGCCAAAGGTAGATGCTCAGCCGCTGAACCACCCAGGATGTACCCCAATGGTCGTAATTAATGGGTACCAAAACATGGATCTGTGAAGGAGTTTAAGATCATGATGTTTCAAGGGGCAAGACAGAAGGACAGCTGATTAGTATGTTATTTGACTTGTTTCTTTTTAAGATTTTATTTATTTATTAGAGACAGAGAAAGGGAGAGAGGCAAGAGACAGGCAGAGGGAGAAGCAGGCTCCATGCAGGGAGCCTGATGTGGGACTCGATTCCCGGTCTCCAGTTTCAGGCCCTGGGCTGAAGGTGGCGCTAAACCCCTGAGCCACCCAGGCTGCCTGTTATTTGACTTGTTTATCCACTTGTATAACTACTGGATTCCTCACCCAGTTTTCAGTCTCAGGTAGGTCAGATCTAGAGCCCAATGATGGAAGGAAAAGCCCAGATTCCCTTAGGAAGGGTCCTCAAGTATATATGATAAATACACTTTTATCCTTCCCCAAAGAGACAGCCGTTTACCAGGGTATATGCAGTGGAGAAAGAGGAATGCTCAGATTTTTCAACCAAGGCTTTTTTTTTTTTTTTTTTTTTTAAGATTTGATTTATTTATTCATGAAAGACACAGAGAGAAAGAGAGGCAGAGACACAGGCAGAGGGGGGAGAAGCAGGGAGCAGGGCAGGGAGCCCAATGATCCCGGGTCTCCAGGGTCACGCCCTGGGCTAAAGGCAGCACTAAACCACTGAGCCACCGGGGCTGCTCTCAACCAAGGATTTTTAGATATAGAGTCTGAGCTAATATGGATCCCAAAGGACCCAAAACACAATTGTAGTCCTCTGGTTTTATGCAAGCCCAGTGATAAATGGAGTCCTGACCAAAGTCCATCTCAGTAAGTATAATGGGTCTGGCCCCACTCTTTACTTCTGAAGTACCTAAATATACATAATTGAGATATATTCAGAAGCTGATAGAATCCTTGGGCCTACATTGATAGCTCTTGCTTCATGCCCCAGATACTTTTCAGGTTCTACAGGCTTGTGTCAGAGTTAATGACCCAGGGGGCTCCCTTGACCAAACTGTTTTGTAGGTCAGTGAGATATAGAAGACTTGAACTATTAACCAACTTTATGTAATTGACATTCATGGAACACTCAACACAATAATAGTAGAATTACCCACCTCCCCCCCCTTTTTTAATGCTCAGGTAACATTTACTAAGATTGACCATATTCTAGGTCACAAAACAAGTCTCAATACCTTTAAGATGATTCAGATCATGATGTTCTCTGACCACAGTGAAATTAAATTAGATATCAATAACAGATATCTGGGAATCTCCAAAATTTGAAAGTTATATAATACCTATCTAAATAATCCATGGATCAAAGAAAAAAAATAAAGGACTCAAAGTACGTTTAACTGAATGAAAATGAGAACATAACAATATCTGTGTGATTCAGCTAAAATAGTGCTTATAGGAAAATTCATAGTACCAAATGCTATATCAGAAAAGGAAGATCTCAAGTAACCTCAGTTTTCACCTTAAGGAAGCAGAAAAAGGGCAAATGAAAACCAAAATAATTAGGAAAAAGGGAATAGTAAAGACTAGAGCAGAAATAGGAAACAGAAAGGCAATAGAGAAAATTAATAAAACAAAACACTGTTTCAGAAGACCAGTAAAATTGGTATAGCTAGACTCATCAGAAAAGGATAGAGAGAACACACAAATCACCAATATTAGGAATGAGAGTGATGACATCACTATATATATATAATAAGAATATTAGACGTACAACAAGGGAATATTATAAACAACTTTATGCCAATGAATTTTTAAAAAAGATTTTATTTATTCATGAGAGACAGACAGATAGAGAGGCAGAGACACAGGCAGAGGGAGAAGCAGGCTACTCGCAAGGAGCTTGATGTGGGACTCGATCCCCAGACCGGGATCACACCCTGAGCTAAAGGGAGACGCTCAACCACTGAGCCACTCAGGTATCCCTATGCCAATGAATTTGACAGATTGAAATAAATTCCTTGAAATACAAAAACTGAAGCTCATTCAATAATAAATAGATAACCTGATTATATTATATACCATTAGCTCATACATCAAATAAAGAAATTAATTTGTACTTAAAAACCTTCCCACAAAGAAAATTCCAGGCCCAGGTGGCTGCACTGTGAATTTTACCAAATATTTAAGGAGTAAAGATTACTAATTCTATGTA